CTTTGTATCACCTGGAGTCCTTATATATTAGATCCCGCAGGCCTTCATTCTGTAAACAGAGGGGGGCTGTTTGCTGAGTCTGAATGTTACTGGTCTCTTGAATGTTTTTTCCTCCCCCTTTCATTAGTCATCTTTAATTTACACCTCTATTCTTTTATTTCCCAGAATTCAACTTGATAAGACTTGGACGAAACCGGGTTTTTTTTAGCTATTAAATTTACACTGATATGTCTTTTAAATTACGCTAATTCCTTGCTATTATTAAGTTCTGTACAACAACAAAAAAAACTTGTTTAAGGCGAATCGAATTCTCTCAGTCACTGTGTGTTTATCTAAAAATGAATACGCTTAGCTTAACCTTCATCCCTGCCGTGCGTCAAAGGCTTAGGGGTAGAATCTCCGAATTCAGCCGGGTTTCGATCCTACCTAGCGGCAACCGGACGTCTAGCCACACTGATGAGCTGTGATACAGCGAAGCAGTCTGTCTGTGGATGACAATATAGTCATCATCGTCGACCCTCCCTTCAAATTCAACGTATGTGGGTCAAGCAGATCAGTTCACAGCCCGATTTCAATATAGTGGTGAAGGTTTCGTGCAGGACCATCCACACTTTTTGAAGGGCCGAATACAGAGACCTGGTGCACTAAGTGCCACAAGGTTCCCAAACGACCCTCCGCAGGTTTTGAATTGTTGTACTTCTCCTAGACCAGTTGCCATCCAAGGCTATAGAACCCAGTCTGTTGTGCTATTTAGCCATAGGTAGAGGGAGAAGAAGAGGATTCACACCTTTCCCAATGGTATTAGGGACGTAAGTAAATGTAATGGATTCAACTGGAATTCGAACTCGGTGCTCCGATTCTTCAATCCAAGCCAATATATATATATATATATATATATATATATATATATATATATATATATGTGTGTGTGTGTGTGTGTGTGTGTGTGTGTGTGTAAGCGCGCGCGCGTGTGAGTTAAACTGAAAGACCACAGTGAAAAATAATCTGAGAATATTTTAATCGGCTATAATTTGTTGTTAATCATTTACTAATTGAATGAAGCACAAGAAAAGATAAATGATTTAACAAAGGTTATTTTCCAGCTATGTGTATGAATTGTAAAGTTCCCCGAAATACAATGAGCATGTTAGATGAAGAGTTGAAAAGAAAATCAATGAATGCCTCTAATTTGGCGAGATAATAAGATTAATAAAGGCCGGGTATATATAAAGAAAACTTGTGGCGCGAGATAACAATAGTGGCCTAATGAAAACTCTCTTAACTATATGCTTGAAAATTTAACGTTGTATAATAGCATAACACTTGTGAAGCCTAAAAATCCTCGCACGAAAGCCAAACACAGAAAGACAAATATCAATGGAAAGAGCAACATTAGGGATTCATTTAAAAGACAGCGGTCAGTACCGATCAGAAAATTAAAAAAAGACAATGTTTACTATAGAATAGTAATGCCAGACATTGAATCCGAATATATCTGTCTACTAGGGCGGCTAGACAAACCCTATTTAGACGCCTGCCTAGGCACGTTTGTGCTTTTCAGCATCCACAGAGCACACCTGTGTTTTATACTATAACTATGCTGAGCGACCTTAGAGTTTCAGGGAGAGAGCGTATCATCTAGCGTGATCAAAAGTCTGAACAATGCCTATTACGCCCTGACCCTCGGCCATAAAGACTTACAACACCACGCTAGCTCAACCATCGCCGGCTTCCAAATAGTTTTGCCTACACTATTTCGCTCATGACTCTTGGGTCAACCCGGGCTATGGTTGTCCAAATCGTGTAAAAGCAAAATTTTCCATTTCTTAGATTAAGTTTTGCACTGTTGTAATTTAGAAATGATTAAAGATAACAAAACACTATTGAATCAACTTTAAACAATAAGAATGAAATCGATCATAAAAAAGAAAAAATCGATTAAAATCAATTAAAATCATATTAATTAATCATAGCTAAGCATCGAAATCTCTTGAAGGATTGAAAATATATATATATATATATATATATATATATATATATATATATATATATATATATATATATATATATATATATATATATTATTCCAGGATCATTCTACAAATTATTCAGGATTATCTTCGCCCACTCTAACCTTCTAACTTTCTGTCCTGTATAACAAGCTGCCTCACACTTTTCACGTACTATTTCATTTTTAAGTCTTTTTTTCACTACTCTTTAGACTATCAAAGTTGAAACATCTCTCGCACGTGTCAAGCCTCTTATGGATTGAGTTGGATCTTTTCTAATTGATCTCTTGAGCTTTAAGTTGAAATCGTTCTTCCTGTTGTGAACTTCTGATACAGTTTTCCTATCAATTGTTCCCTTTTTAAATTTTATTCACCGTTCTCTTGATGGTCCTTGAATTAATTTTGAAGATAGAAGCGTCACTTTGAATGTTACTACCATTACTGAAGTTCTGAATGATCTTTTGTCTCTCACTATTGCTCATTTTGGAAGGAAGTGGGACTGACACAAAACAATGTAACATGTATTCTTTCTAGCTGAAAAACTCAAAGGGTGTTTCCTTGATTCTTACGACAAATGGTGTCAAGATGGTTAAAAGTCTTATCTGAAACTTGGGAAAAAGAAACTCAATTACTTTAGTGTTTTTTAGATATTAAACCTTTGTGGGGTAGAAAAGTATGCTGTTACACGATTTGGACACTTTTACTGTTGTACATGGTATATGTGTATGTGGGGGGTGCGCGCATGTTTATGTGTGTGTGTGTAGGCTCTATCAAAATACATCTAAAATCTTTGATTTCGGGCTCCTCACACCAAAACAAAGATAAAAGTCTATATAAATATATGCCTGCAATTCCTCCGTTTTTTTTAGTTATCAAATTTAATGTTTACGGTAGACTCTGCTAAATGTACAATCCAAGATACAATCAAAAATATATTTACAAAAGTTAGGACTTGTTCCTGACAGCAAAACAAGGTAAAATATCCATATAAACACATGTCGAAAAGGCCATCGCTGTACCTCAATGTTACGGTTTTTTGGGTATATATGAATATATAACTAGTGAGCGAGTCAGAATGACTTATTTCCCTTTATAATCGACCAATGGAAGGTTGACCAATCAGAAGCCGCCTAACACTGTATTCGTCGTGTATAAAGGCGGCCATCTTGTTTCGTCTACCAGAAGGACCAAAGGTGACCAGGAGAAGGATGAACTACACTCTGCTGTGATATCCACTGCGAACCTTCCCTACGCGTTCCTACTGTCTCCGAAATATTCACTGCCAACCCTTGGATTCAATACTCAAGGACGACCGTCATGGAAATGTCTAACACTCAACACATCAACTCATAACAAATGTTCAATATGTCCTCTGCTTGCATCCTTACACGTATGCACCCGTCAGATCATTGACTGGCGGATCCTTTCAAATACTCCTACACGATGTTTAATGGTGTCGCAAGAAACCCTATGACACGTTGATGATGCGTCACTGCATAATTAATGTCTGCTATATACATTAATTGTTTCAGGTGGCCCCACAGACAGATATTCAAAGTAGTGCTATCCGGGGAACGTGCAGACCATGGAACCTGTTCTCCTCTACGTATCCATCTTTAACGTTAGATATCAGCCATGTGACTGAAATGTGCTGGAACCCCATCATGAATGAACCATATGCTTCTTCGTATTAGCAGGAGCACATCCTCTAGCAGGTCAGTAAGTCTGTTCGAAATAAAGTCCCTGTAGACAGCTCCTGTAAGACGTGTTGGATGGATATATGAACCTAACAAACATTCACCTCCAATTCCAGCCCACAAATTAATTGTAAATCGATGCTGGTGTCAATCCTGTATTGTACCATGATTCGATACGCCCACAGATATTGGTTGTGTAAATTTATTATTCCATCTCTTCCGAATGTTGCCTTGACGTGAGCTGATATCTGGATCGTCACCGAGGGCCTGTAGAATGTTTAATCGTAGTCAGGCATACGAGCAGATCTTAGTATTCCTTGATTCATAGTTTGTGGTTCCACGGACTATGTCTCAAAAGCGTGTTGATAAACAGCATTTAAGCTATGATGACTCAGCTGCCTACGGTCTGGAAACGCAATCTTATACAGCCTCGCGCCCATTACTATTCATGCAGCCGTATGTAAAAATAATACCTCCCTGCTCACGATATAAATATCCTGCCATTGTGAAATGTAACACTTCTCAGCTAACTCACTACTGCAGATGTTAAACGTTGAAGACAGACTAATCACAAATCTACACGAATAACAAAAGTAACCTAGTTCTTATGCCAAGAGAGCGCTATCTACGTAAACTTTCTTTATGCTTAATATCACAAAAACAATGGATTTGCTAATATATGTTTATATGGACTTTTGTTCTTGTTTTGGCGTGAGGAACGAGCCCCCTAAAGTTTGTAAAATATATATAGGTGGACACCGTGGTCAATTTCAAGCGGCGTCAGTCTGTTTCATGCTTGAACACAATCTTCAGGCCATATAATCTATGTCTGATATTGAACATTTTTATCGATAAATATTTCATACCTTAAAACGATATTTTTTTACGATATACTGTTTAATATATATATATGTATATATATATATACATATATATATATATATATACACTAATTTAAAAATATAATCCCATCGCTACACAGGAATTACTATGTTTCAAAAACAGAAACTAAAATTCTAAATTTAATTATAGAATTAAATTAAAATTTGAAATCCAAATATCGCTTGAAAATCAAACAATACAAGTGATTTTAATTTAATTCTGTAATTAAATTTAAATTTTTAGTTACTGTTTTGAAACATGGTAATTCCTGTGTATTGATGGGACCATATTTTTAAATTAGTAAATTTATAATATTTATGCCCTACAGAATTGTTTTGAGCACTGTTTTTTAAAAGTAAATACAATTAATAAGAATACTGGATTATAAATCTTACTGTCGTTTCTCATTATTTTAATATATATATATATATATATATATATATATATATAGATAGATAGATAGATAGATAGATAGATAGATAGATAGATAGATAGATAGAGTATTTAATACTGGCAGAAACATCTTAAACATATTTAATAACTAATCCTCCAAATAATAAACACCAACATCCTCCTTATTAATAACGAACTAATCCAACATTGTCTAAATACCCCAAATAGTATCTATAATGCTAAAATAATACGTAGCCTATTTCAAATCAGCACATACATCCATGATGGCGGTTGACGATAACTAAAAGCGCTCGGCAAAATACCATGAATTAGGCTCTTATTTCAGCAACTTAAACTCAAATATAAAAAAGAAAACTTGCGAGAAAGGAAGAAAAACTGAAGAAAAGATTATTAAACGCATAAGTTCCGTAGTCTTTAACAACACATGCTTTAATAGTATATACACAAAAATCGTTTTTCTTAAAATACTGATAGCCTGATTATATTCTTATTTTTTATTAAATTTTCCTTTTATTAATCTTTAGGATTCATATCCGCTTACCTCCCTTTAACCTGGCTAACGATGCTATATCTGCTCCCGAGTAGCATTTCCAGTAATAATTTGAAATTTCTATTTTTTAATTTTATTTTTTAATGTCCCCTCCCCCAACGTTTTTTTTTTAATGAACCTTACCTGCACCTCATTCCCTGCACGTTTTGTACTAATTTATTTTTGGACTATGAAGCAGCGTTCCCTTCATTTAACATATGTATTTGTGACAGTGACTGCGTACATTTATAAAAGCATAAGATATTTGTGCCCGATGAGTTGGAAAACTAGCGAAAGTCCCACACCAAAACGTAGGTATATGTATATGTATATTTATTAATATATATCTTTGCTCTGTCTAACCACATCGAACATTATTATGTTTTCACCTGATGACTAAATTTGCTGATTATTTATACTTGCCTGTGTATGCATGCCAACAAGCGCCTATGTGGTTGCTTATTTCTGGTCATTTGATTTACCTATCTATCTATCTATCTATCTATCTATATATATATATATATATATATATATATATATATATATATATATATATATATATATATATATATATATATATATATATTGTGTGTATGTATTTAGGGAGCATTTTTTTCATTAATGCATGTTTTATTAAATAATATAGTTAAGTTTTGTCAATTCCTTTTAAGTAAATTCCTTTCATATTATCGAATAAGCTTTTTAGCATTATCACTGAAACACAAAAGAAAATCACTATGTTGATATATGTTTTTATTGTTAATCCTGTCTAAGCTTTCGGCTTACATAAGCCATCATCAGAGATTACAGGTACATTACAATAAATTAAATAATAAATTATATAACAAAGATTGCAATTTTTGTTTTAGAATAGTTATGCGGACATTGCATCAATGATCGTTTGTTTTGTTTGCATGCAATATTGCTATGCAACGATGTCCGTGCATATGAAATGCAGGAAGAAAATATCGCATTGTGGTTCATGAGATTTTCACTCTCACGTGGTCATCTGTGATAATGCTAAAAAGATTATTCGATAATATGAAAGGAATTCACTTAAAATAGACAAAACATTTCTATATTATTTAATGAAACATGCTTTAATATATATATATATATATATATATATATATATATATATATATATATATATATGATCAGTTCATTTATTTATTATTTAGTCAATTATTTTTTTTTATTTTTTCACCGAATTATATATGCTTCACATAAATAAATGGTCAGCTCTTTCCAGGAGGCTATATATATATATATATATATATATATATATATATACGCTTTGCAACGTTCTTTTCTTTCTCATTTGTGCCTAACGATGGCTAGGAGCTTAAATTGCATCGCACAGTAAGAAATAAATGTATTATTATTCTTGGAATCAGACCTTAAAGATACATTTGACATTATTATTAGAAAAGATGAGGTAGTGCGTATTTCCTCAGAGATACGAATGTTGACTGAAATCTTCATTGACTGACTCAGATACTATCATGGAATGTGAAGAAATGGGGTCTATGTCTTTAAATTCTTGCATCGGTGTTGCAGTGATTTGATCCCATTTGTTGAGAAGCTTTCATCCTGATGGTCAAAAACTCATCAACTGCACATATGACGTCATTAACATAGCGAAACTGGTCCCCAGATGTTAGTCATTTGGGATGAAGCAACACGCCTTTCTTCAGTTTTGACTCATTCTCTCATACTAGTGTTAACTTAATTTTGACTCACCATGTATTTCGAATGTTTTCTTAATGGTTGTAAATGACGTAGACATATTTATTGATTGCGTGCGCAGCCTAAAATAACTTTTGAATACACTTTGTGATTTTCTTAACATTATTCAAATGATTCTTTACACGCTAAAACTTCTTATCAGTCGAATATGATAACTTTAGAGATTATGCGAGACCAGTTAGATTACGTAATTCAGAACCGTTTGTGTTCTTGGTGACTTCATGTATGTTATCAAAAATTATTCTTGTCTTTCATAATAATGCAGAATTTTAAAATATATTCATATGATATTCATTCGAACATCCGTATACTTCAACTGTAAGAAAAAAAATTATGTAGGTTTGTTAGCAAATGAAACAACCAAAGTAGCGGATTACTGATGGGTGACACTAAAATAAAGCAAGTAAGAAGAATTTTAACAGAAGACGTAAAATCTGACACCGTAATCGGAAGGTGCGTCGGAAAAGAAGAAGGTAACTTCCCAAAGCTAAGCAAAGTATTAAAAAACATGAAAATTTCGTTATAAATAACGAAAATCCTACTGGACTGTTATGTATGATCATTCCTACTTTATGCCAGCAACAGCTTAGAAAGTCTCCTCAAATATAAAGAAACAACTGGGAAAACGGAAGTCAGGTTGTACAGAAAGATTCTAAGAATCCTATGGACTGAATATACGGGCAACGAGGACTTTTTATGGAAAAAGGAAGCAAAAAAGACATAATTAGAATCGGAAAGCGACAGCTGAAATTTCTAGGGCATGTAATGAAGAAAGACGGCTTAGAGAATTTATTAAACACGCAACGTGAAATTGGTATATATATATACACATACAAACATATATATATATATCGAGGTTAAATAAGAATGGCGAATTATATTTTCCTCTGTCGAAATAAGCTTATTCTCCATATGATGTGATTTGGGATTTTATTGTGTATTAATTTTTGCTGTGTAACAATAAATACATTGACCTCTTTTTGGGAGATCAGTTTTATTATTTTATATTACTAAGAACTACTTAGATTATATACCAATGGATTTATTACTTTTACTATAGATAGATAGATAGATAGATAGATAGATAGAGAGAGAGAGAGAGATAGATAGATAGATAGATAGATAGATAGATAGATAGATAGATAGATAGATAGATAGAAAAAGACTGAGGGAGTGAGGGAGAAAATTAGAAATAAACCCAAGAGAAATAGATAGAGACGGAAAAGTGATAGATAGATAGCTAGCTAGATAGATAGATAGATAGATACTGAACAGAGATAGAGGAAGTGAGAGAGACAAAGTGAAAGAAAGAGAGAATAAATGAACAGAAATAAAGAAAGTGAAAGAGCGAGAGACAGACTGAAGATAGATAGATAGATAGATAGATAGATCCTTTGCTTGTTACCCTATTTCTTTTTTTTTTTTTTTTTTCGATTCTTTAAGAAGAAATAAATTCCTGGCTAACGTGAATTTATATTTTCGGATATGCAATTCACATTGGCGTTGATTATTCCAATGCACTAATCGTCTGTTTGGTAACAAGATTGAGTTATCTGAACAATCTTCGCCTCTCTTCAGCTGAAGTATGCGTCTTGTTCATTACTCCAAAAATAGAAAAGACACAATTTTACCGATGCTAGAAATCAGGAAATACGTGCAAGTAATCTGTTTATACAGACAGGCTATCACAGAAAAACAGGAAATGTTTTGTTTTTTTACAATAACTAGCAAAAATACATTGAAGAATAATAATAATGATAATAATAATAATAATATTGATTCAATCACCTACTGTACATGGATGATCTCAAACTCTTTGCCAAAAACGACAATGAGTTGAAGTAAATACTCAATGTTGTAAAATGTTTCAGTGGTGATATCGTTATAGGTTTCAGATTAGATAAATGTGCAAAACTAATATTCAAGAAAGGGAGAAATACAGAAACCCACTCAATTGATCCAGATTTTGTCACAAAGATTAATGCTTACAAACAAATGTTAATACAGAATCGGCACTCATCCGGATCAACAAGAACCCCGTCCCTTAAAGAGGAACCAGTCCAGGGCCGAAAGATCTATTACTGAAACAAACACTCCCAAGAAGACGAGATCCCTGGTCTCCAAACGGGGAATATTTCCAACCTCGGTCCAATGACTCAATGTCAAATCAATTAATAAAAAGAAAGCGAATGAAATGGAGTCGCGAACAATATCAACAAGTTATAGCATCCTTTTAAACTGCACTCAAATATCAACAAAAGAACATTACAAATCAGACATACCAAATATAAAGAATTATGTTATGAAGTAGAATATGACACTATCCCGACCCAAACATGCTTGCCAATGTCCACAGGGACATCGGACGAAATAAAAAAAAACTCTTAAATGCAGAAATAGATCAGATGAAATGAAATATATGAAAGAATACAATAACCCATCACTGACACAATAAAGATGTGAGTGGATATAAATAATATGACAGAGGATGAGGTAAACATTAAAATAAATGAGATACGAAATAACATTTCAGGAAATAAAATTGAAAAATTTGCCTGCGACATAACAATTGCAGTTATTTAGATTATATCAGTGAAGATGAGTCAAATGACACTGGGATAGAATTCCCTGAAAACAATGGCGGTGAAATCAGTGAAGCGAAAAAGCACATCATTAAAATACTCAGCTGTGTAACTAACATATAAATATTAGACAGAGATCGGCTCCAAAAATTTCTATGATGAAGTCCAATAAGTTATTTTGTACAGAGGGAAGAAGAAGAAGAAGAAAAAGAAGAAGAAAGGATGTGAAGATAAAAGAGGATTTAAAGAAGAAGGAGAAAATGAGGAGGAAGAGGGAACGTGAAGAAGAAGAAAAAGGGACGTGAAGAAGAATAAGAAGGAGAAGAAAAAGAAGAAGGAGGAGGAGAAGTGGATGTAAAGAAGAAAAAAGAGAAGGAAAAGGGAGCGTAAAGAAGAGGAAGAAGAAGAAGAGATGTGAAGAAGAAGGGGAAAATGAGGAGGAAGAGGGAACGTGAAGAAGAAGAAAAAGGGACGTGAAGAAGAACAAGAAGGAGAAGAAAAAGAAGAAGGAGGAGGAGGAGAAGTGGATGTAAAGAAGAAAAAAAGAGATGGAAGAGGGAGCGTGAAGAAGAAGAAGAAGGGATGTGAAGAAGGAGATGTAAAGAAGAAGAAAAAGAGGAGGAAGCGGGAAGAAGAAGAAGGGATGTGAAGAAAAAGAAGAAGAAGAGGGAACGTGAAGAAGAAGAAGAAGATGATGAAAAGAAGAAGAAGAAGAGGAAGAAGAAGAGGATGTGAAGAAGAAGGAGAAATAGAGGAGAAAGGGGGAACCTGAAAAGAAGAAGAAGAAGAAGAAGAAGAAGAAGAAGAAGAATGAATGAATGAATGAATGTGAAGTAGAAGAAGAGGGACTGTAAAAAGCAAGAAGAAGAAGAAAAAGAAACAGATGGAATGTGAAGAACAAGACCATAAACAATTGCTATGAATCAATTGAGATTCCTGGTCATTAATCCGATTTTGACTTAATCCCAAATGAATTAACAAATAGAAAGTGAACGAAATGAAATCATAAATGAAAAATAGATTGGATAAAACTAAATATAAGACAGAATCGGAATAACAATAATAATAAAGCACTTACCAAGCGTAAGAGTTCAACTAGCGTCCAGGAGACAAAAATAAAGAAACCATATCCCTTAGTATTTAAAGAATACTTCCACTCAGGAACCAGTCCAAGGGACTATCCCACTTTAGAAATGAGATGCTCCATTGCACCATAAATGGCTCTGAAAACAATTAGTTCTTCACTCAGCTTGAAGAGTGGTTATCTTGACCACGTGATTGTTCGAGATCGCTGGAACAGGATTTATGACACCTGAAAAATTGGGAATATTGAAGCAGGCATATCCACCGACTCGTCCAACAAGGTTTGACGAGAAGCTGACAATGAGAGCCTTCAAATGCTGGATCGATCTATGCTTAAAGAAAGCCCTGAATGAAATGGAGTCCACCACCCAGACAACCCGAACAATATCAACCAAGTTATCTCATCTGAGATGACATCACAGCAATTTTCCGAAACTGGGATGTCTTTACTGACAAATATGCCAAACTAAGCTAAATTCAAAAGATGAGGCAAAATGCCATAATCAAACACACCCTGACTTCTTTAGATCCAGATAATCTACAAAAGTATAAAGAATTATTGTCCATCGAAGTATGTCTCAATGCTGATGAGCCAATACAAAGTTATTTGTCCGCCTCAGACCGTAGCCGTTGATTGTAACTTTACCTGCCCCCTCGTGTGAACAATGTCCATCAGGACCAGACATCGGAAATGACACACTCCAGGCTGAAATAAAAAAACAAAATATCTCATAAATTTGCAGAAATAGGATCCAGATGAAAGCTGAAAACATACCGAAAGAATACACCAACCCAACACTGACCAGCACCTATAAAGATGTCTTGAGGGTGGATAGCAACCTCAGGAACTGAATCACAGAAAATGGATGAGACAAACATTAAAATTGTGGGAAAATCACCTATCGAGGGTATGCCGGGCTAAGAAACCAGCTCAAGCGGTCAGGAAAAGCCTAAAGGCTTGAAATGGACACACTTATCGCCCACATCACATTCAATCAAACGACAGGCACGTATAACACAGGCCAGATAAGGAAATTTATGCATATATTGTTCCATTTTCGCCAAAACCGGATCCCAGACAAATTAAGAATATCCCCAGAAATCACAGCACTAGGATGACAATCTTTCCTGACAGTGGGGCCACCACATGTCCTGGGGACTTAAGCACCTTCTGAATATGGGGCTCACTGACAACCTCATTCCATCAAGAAAAGTCGTCCGAGCTGAGGCTTTACGCCTGTATGTCAGGGTTGGCTCCCGTGAATTCATCGTCCAAGGAAGAACAACTAAACAAGCCCTATACATATAAAAAAGATTCAGCGGCTATACTTCAGAAGCAGCCTGCATTGATGTAGGGATACTGTCCAAAGACTTCCTGAAGCCAACAACTACAATATTACCCCAAAACAACAATGCAACACATGCCCTCGACAAGCACACATAAAAATCGGACGTGAGCCCTAAACAATGCAAAGTCGAGGGACAACTTCCAACACGCCCCAAAAACTCCCTTTTCTTCCAACAGAACAAAACATTGATAAGCTCAAGAATTGTCCAAACGGCGTTCAAGAACAATGGTGAATTCCCACCGATGTCTGGCCCCACTGCACATATACACCTCAAAGAAGGAAGTCCCAAAGAAGACATAAAATTCCTGAAAAGAAGAAGACAGGCCCTTTGGGAAGATGTGAAAAGAGGATTGGCATGCCCGCTGATTGAAGCACTATGGAATTACTGCAAAAAAAAATGCAAACCACGAAGAACCATAGACTACCAACACCTGAATTCACAGGCAAACGTGAAACAACCATACAGGGTCACCAAGTGCCACCTAAAAAAAGAAAACGGATTCCATCCCCTTTAGAGAAGAACCACCTTCATCACAGAAGGGGAAGGTTCATGTACCTGAGAATGCCAAACCTTAGCATCTGGCGAGAACCCGAAGGAAGGAGATCCCCCACAAAGTAAAAATCGTGGATGACACCCTACTCTATGACTCTGAAATCGAAGACACCTTCGATTTTCTCCTCCATTGTGCAAAAAACGGCATCGTAATAAATAGAGAAAAATTCCAATTTTGCCAAGACACGGTGCAGTTTGGGGGCCTCCAAATAACATCTTCTGGTGTAACCCTTCTAAATCCATGCTGAGGCAATATTGAGCTTCCCAATACCAAAAAACACTCACCGATGCCAGATCATGGTTTGGGCTGGTCAACCAAGTCGCTTGGGCATATTCACTAAGAAGAAAACGAGACTCACACTTTACATGGAATAAAAAAGAAGATGCATTCCAGCAGTCAAAGAAGGTCAGGAGTCCGAAAAGGCATCGCAACATTTCAAAAGAAAGAATAACCTGAAAGAGGGCTTCCTAAAAGTATTGGACCACTGACAAAGCCCCAGTTTGCTGCCCTGAAGGTTGGCGCCTGATATTTGCTGGTAGCAGATTCTGCATTGATGCTGAACGAGATATGCACCTATTGAAGGCGAAGGAGGGCATTGGAAAAATGTCGGATTTTTTGTAATGGGTTGCCTGAATCTCATAGTGGTTAAGATCATGAACCACTAAAAGGATTATTCGGAGATAGAGACCTTAGTAAAAAGAAAAACCCCCGATTATTCAGGTTAAGGAGAAAACCCTCAGGTACAGATTCACCATTCAGCACTGCCCTGGGAAATGGCACAGAGCCTCCGATGCTGTCTCTCGAAGAGACATCTCACAGGCAAAATGATTCACTGAGAACCCTCTCAATCAGACATCATAGAGTCTGACAACATGAAAAAATCAAAACCTTATTAGAACATTCGGTGCAAATGACAACCTGGAGCTCATCTCAGCAGACGTTATCCGTACGGCGGACGCAGCGAAGAAGAAGAAGAAGATCCTCACTGACCTGAAAAATATTGAAGAAGAAGAAGACGGGTTAAGAAGAAGTTATCCCCACCTCACAACGCGCAAAAATGCCTAAGAAGAAGGCGAGAAATAATCTGTTTATTGATGAATGAGAAATTAGGCAGGTTGTAAAAAAAATGCCCCGAGTCAAATCAAAAGAGCCAATCAATTTGACACCATCTCCTGAAGAAATCGAAGAAACCATGAAGAAGGTTAAGAAGACAGCCACGGAGAATGAATGCCTCAAGGATTATTTCCGAACATATTCCAAACTACGAGGAACTCAGCAGTGATGGTGGGCCACCCTTCACATCTCTTCCATTCAAGCAATTTTTGAAGACTGGGCTGTTAAACAAAGGTTAAATCTGCTGGTTACCCATAATCCAATGGTCGAGCAGAAGAAGAGAAATCGTAAATGGCAACACAGATCATTGAAATAACCGTGCAAGAGCCATCCTCCAATACAGAATACGCCCATTCAAACATTGGGCTATCCCCTGCTCAACTACTACTCCACCGCCGACTACGTGACTACATACCATCCCACCCAACACCCTATAAGCCACAGAATTGGATAACCGCAGCATTGAAAATCGTGAGATAAGTTTGTCCTTAACGCTCCGAGCGATACAACAGAACAGCACAACTTTAAACCCCCTTCAAAAGGACAAATAGTGGCACTTACCAACAACCGTCGATGGGACACAACAAAGGTGAAACCTCCCCAACCACCAATACCGTATCAGAGTTGAATCAGGTAGAATTACCTTACGAAATCGCCGATTTCAAAACTGATACACCAACAATTCCAGTTCCAAGACCTAGTGCAATACCTAGACCCCTTCGACGCTGAATAACATCAAACACTGCTCAGCCGTCTACAATAACACGGACAAAACCCTCGGGCATTGTCCAACTACATCCCTCCCCAAAGGCCACTACCCACACGCGATGGGGGGAAGAAGATGTAGAATAACAATAATAATAAAGCACTTAAAGAGTTCCAACTAGCGTCCAGCTGGCAGACAAAAAAAGCAAGCAGGTTGTAACTTAATACATATCCTGCAAACTGAGAAATCATGCTAGTATTTATATAGTAAACCCATCAGGTACCAGCAGCCAATCATAGCCCAAGCAATGGACTATCCCACTTTAGCATAATGAGATGCTCCAATATGATGGCTCTGTCTCATGTTGAATTAGTTCTTCACCAGCTTGCTCCACAACTGAGTGGTTATCTTGACCACGTGATTGTTCGACAAATAAATAAACCAAAACAAATATGATTTGAGATTGGTCATAAATAATAAAAGAGGATGAGGTAAAAACTAAAATAAATGAGATACGAAATAATAATCTCCGAAGAAATAAAACTGACATATCTAACTGCGACATAAATTGCAGTTATCCAAATTATATCTCAGAAGGTGTGTCAAACGACATTGGGGGGGGGTAGAATTCCTTAAAAATAACACAAATGAAATCACCGAAATGTTGAACCACATCATTAAAATATTCAGCACAGTAACTCTCAGACAAATGACGTCAAAAAGCTACTATCTATTGAAGAAGTGCCCAAAATTTGGGTGAATACTTAGAGCAACCAAAGTGAGCCTGATTCCACTGCAGAGTGGATCAAACGAAAACAAGAAAGACCGAAGGATAAACCTTTGCAAGAATGGAAAAAGTATAACCAAGGATAATGTTAGGCAAGCTGTAACAAAATCCCAAAAATAGAAATCCCCAGGAAATGACAAGGCACCTAATTGTTGGCCCTATCATCTGTCATCAATCTACAAAATCCTTGTACATAATTATCAATGATAATTAATAACCTCAAGGAATTTCCTGACTTGATAACTGAAGGTATTACATATCTATTAACAAAGATGGATGAAAGAAATGATTCAAAAAACTATAGGCCAATAACAT